ATCCGTCCGCCTCATCAGTGCAGTTTCGTTCCATCTCCCCATCCGACGCATTCGGAGCTGTCAGTGTGATACACACGCGATCCAATGACACTTGGTCATCGTCCCCAACGAAGCTAACCGACAAACCGTCTATTTTTAAACCCTAATATCTCGCTCAATGCTCAACTAAATCAAGTGTGGTTTGTTCCTATAGATTTGTCTCGACTAGGAGAACATATCCATATGGTTAATTGGCCCTTAAATCAACTCTATAGACATGGAGAATCAAATGAAGCTCGGTTTAGGGTTAACTTTCAATACCTTGGTCCAAGAGGGGAAGCCTTGATTGGATGCTTGTGGAAGCTTTGTGGGGGTCCCAAGAGCCTAGGGATGGAGCCTCATGCCATGGTGAATCGTCTACTCTGGTGATTGGGCTTTTGTGGGGGATCTTCTTCTCTTGATGTAGGGATGGTGTGGGTGCAGGTGTGGGTGCAATTAATTTTGGGTGCAATTAATTTAAATTTGGTGGAGGTTTGAGGGGTGCCCTGTTTCAGCCTATAAATTGGGCTAAAAAATTGAGCTTGAACAGTGACTTTGAGTGGCTAAGGGTGGTTGGGTTAAGTTCAAGAGGTCTCAAAGAAGCTCTGGAAGCAATTTGGTAGAGTCTTCCTAAGGAATTTCAATCTCTCCTCCTTTGGCCATAGAGGCTTTTGGATTTGGGTTTTTTAGCAGCCAAGGTGGCCGACCGGCTAAGCTCTGGGGCAATTGGTGGGTGGTTTAAGTTTCCTATGTTGATGTCAATAATGTACAAAAATCCAATTGGGATGAGCCAGCTTGGATGTGTTTAATTTTGAGTTTTGGTCATGGTGGAGCTTTTGATTTTGGGTTTTCCGGTCGATTTTGAGTTTTCCAACCACCAAGGTGGTTGGCCAGCCAAGGAGGGGTTACCATCTAACTCAGGGAGGTCAGGGCTTGGTCTTGGTGAAGTCAATTGGGGTTGGCCATGTGTAAAGGTATGAGATGGAAATAGTACGGGAGAAGGGTCAATTTGGGTCAAATTGATGATAAAAATTGAAAATGGAAAATTTGGGATGATTTTGGAATTTTTGGGAATTTCAGAAATTTTTTAAATTTTTAGGTCATGAGGGGTATTTTGGTAATTTTGGTCAATTTTGGAGGTTTTTTGGGAATTTGGTAATTTAGGTAGTGGTGGGGGATTTGAGATGATTTTTGGGAAAATTGGGTAATTTTGAGATTTTTTGGCAAAGATTGGGGTTGTAGGGGTATTTTGGGCCAAAATGGGCCAACAAGCCATGAAGCCATACTAAACCAGTAGGAGTCATATGAGGACTCATTTTTGATGCTCAATGTGCTGGTTCTAAATACTAGGGGTACAGGGTCATCCACATGAGCTCTCCAAAAGGAGTCAATGGACAAACCTAAGGGGTCATAGGGTTTAAGGTATGTGAGAGAGTGTAGTGTGTGTAAGTTAACCCCACCAAAACCCCACCAAAACCAAGCTCCAGAACAACACCCAAGGTCAACCTTATTGTCAAGCAGTCCTATCGTGGACTCCTCTTGAGCTCCCCCATAGTGGCCCCACCTACTAAGTGCTGGAGGTCAGGACCAATATGTTGAACTTCAAGTTAAGCAAAAAAGAGTTTATAATTTCTGGAATTTCTAATGGTGAGGGAATTTCTAATGGTGAGGGTTCCTTTTCTAGTCCTCTAGGAATAGTCAATGGGAAAATCCTATGGCTAGATCTTAAGCTAATAAAGAGGAAAAAACTAGACCTCAACCAAAAAAATGAGGTCAACAACTCCATGTTAACTTTACACATGAAGCATTTAGTTGGTCAGCTTGTTAAGACCATGAGGCCTACAAAAGTACATTATTAGTGTGGTAGGCCATCCAATCCAAATATTAGAAATGGAAAACTCTAATTTTGTCTCTTACCCTGAGCCAGGAGATGTGGCATCAACAAGATTTTCTCTAATCCTCATAATTCAGAATGGGAATTCTACTCTCCTTACACCTAAAATGATCAAAGAGACTTATAGTTTCAAGTTCTAAGGTGGTTTTGACCTTATATTTTAGTTTCTTCTCTAAATTCCAAATCAAAAGCCAAGGAGAGAGGGGACAGAAGAAAACCTTACTATAAACTAAATTGAGTCAATCCTTAACTAGGAAGCTTTATTGCAACCTCACAACTATATATCCTTAAGGCTGCAGACCTTAAGGAAGCTTGAATTTATGGTTCAACTAACATTCTGGGATATACTTACAATAGCTAGCTTCGGAGTGACCTAGTATGCTTTAAAGAGAATAGGGATGCACAGAGGGAGTATGTTTCAAGCTAAAGATCAATTCAAATTTGAGAATATAATTTGAATGAATCAATATCAATTCGTGCCAAAGAAGGGTGCTTTTGTTCATAATAACTTAGGCAGAGACCTTAAGTGATCATCATGCCTTCTTGACAGACTATTCCTAATAGCCTAAAAGAGTTGTGTGAGTAGGCAAGTGACTATGTGACCATGTTGAACACTTGCTTTCAGTTAGCCAATCCTCAACCCATCCTTGGTTTAAGTTGGGGATGTGTTTAGGCAGGACTTAAAGGGCGAGAAGTTTTTTGGACAATTAAATTTGATAATTATCCATCATTTGTTGGTTGATTTTGAAAAATAGACTTGATTTAGCTCATTTGGTGGTCATGTGTGAACTTGAGCTAGCTAGTTAGGTTTGGTGAGGTCCAGAACAATGCTTAGTGTGCTTAATTAGAGGTTGGTTGACCTAATATGGCTTTGTATTGCACTTTTGGTGAAACGAGTCAAATGATTCTTTAGGTTTAAATTTTTTCAAGCATAATTAAGAGTAACCAAAGGTTCCATTGTTCAAGGACAGAAATTGAGCACACTTTCATGTGCCCAAGAGGATTTGGATTCTATTTGGTTGGATTTGATTTGAGATTGAGCCAAGATGGTTCTTTTGATTCAATTATTACGTCCACATTCAATTGACCTAGTTCTTTTGATTCAATTATTACGTCCACATTCAATTGACCCAATTGTAGAATAATAATCATTGATTCAATCTATTTGATAATAAATTACCTAAGTAGTTGATTTGAAGAGTTTAATTATATTTAATTAGACTTGATTTGAATTAGGTTGAATCATGCCCAATTGGGTGAATATTGAAGCCTACTTCTTCTTAATTTGAATGCAATTGGTTTAGGAGGTGTTTTAAAAGGGTTTAGCTTGGTCGAAGTAAGTATACTTTGAATTGGATTCAATTGTACCCATTTATGTTAACATGGGTGAATGACTCAAATCGGCTCAATTAAGGATTCAAATCCATTAGTGGCCAATTGGAATTGACTAATTTTTGTTAGACTTAAAGGTGTTTGATTGATTTAATTTTGATTTAACTTGTATTTGATATAATGTGGTTCAATTAACCCAAATGGTCCTATAGTAAGCTCATGAGCCCATTATGTCCAATTAATTGCATACAAAGATGATCTTAAATTAATTGATAGGAAGTGAACTTAAGAGGTGTTTTTCCCAATTTGGTTGAATTTGGATTAGATTTAGAATGATTTAACCCAAGTGTTTCAACTTGGGTCAAGGGCCCAAATTCGCTTTATTATGCTTGGATTTTACTTGAATTTTGTGAAGGAGAGTTTAAAATATTTCTAAAAGGGTATAGGGGCTAAGTACACCTTACTCGAGGAATTTTAATATTTGAATTAAATGACATTTAATTAGCCTTTTGGTCAAATGTGTCAATGATTTTTTAGATGAGCTTCAATGAGTCCAAACTTCAACTTTAATTTCTTAATTTTAGGTTGGAAGGTGGCAACATTAGGGGAGCCAAAGGCTCACACTAACTTATGACAAAGAATATAACTGCGGTGGTTGGTGTTGGTTTCACCATTAATCATTGTTCGGAGTGTATTTGAATATCTCTCAAATCTAACAAATTTGAAATATACTTGAATTGAACTAAATATTATATTTGTCAAGTTTATACTATATTTCATTGTCATCGAACCAAACAATTAAATTTTCAAATCCTAGCATTTGAAGTACAAAACTCTCCTTTTGTAGTAAATCAAACAACCCCCTAGTTAAAGATTTTTTCATGCCTTACATAAACCAACTCAACAAAATAATAATGAGAATCTACTTAGTAGCCCTTATAATAATTTTGAACCACATTTCAGCAACCACGGTAAGACATTAGATAACCAAAAGTATATAAAAAAAGCTGCACATGGTCTTCATGGTATTTACAAAAAACATAATTTTTTGTGAATTGGGAAATTCAAAACAACTAAAAAACTAATTTAAATTATGTGCATTTAAGAAAATTATTTCACATAAAACTATTCTTATATCAGTTTTCCATATTAAATAATAAATCTAAACTCTATCAAAATTTTCGTTGATTTTATAATAATAATATTTTTTCTAGGATCAATTTTTGTAATCTTTTGAGATATTACAAAAAAATAAATTAAATTATTTTCATACTAATTTTTTATCAAACCTAAAGAAAAAAAAAAGGATGTTGTTCCTCCAACATCTCCACCATACAATAACTTCTTAATCCACTTTATCAGTAGCAATAATAGAATCAAACAAACTCTTAAAAATCTTTCTCATCATTTACAAGCAACAAAACATTTACTTCTATATAGCAACATAACATTTGTGATGGCAAAAAACATAACTTTCCAAATTTAAATCCTAACCGTTATCTTTTATGTACATGTACTGTATATCAGAATTAATTAGTATTTTAAAAACAAATCATTGGCTTAACAACCCTAGAGCTGAATTTTATATGAACACCTCCAATCATGTACCCACCACGCACGAGAAAGAAAAATACAAGAAAAAAAAAATCGAAATTAAAAAAAAAAACGGATAATTGCCAAAAATTTTTTTTTTTTTTCAATTCTACTAAGACTATATATAATAATCATGGAAAGGTAAAGAAGAGGAATTAAAAAGCTCAGCTCTTTTTGAACCTTCGTAGCCTTCTCGCCCTCTTCACGAAAGCTCCTTTTCTTCTTCCCCCTCTCCTCGAACTTTAAAACACAACATCAGCTCGAAAACAGGAAGAAGGTTCCTCCTTTTCGTTCTTTTCAACCGATTCTGCAGTCTCGTCATCGGCATCCTTTGATTTGCGGCATTGGTTTCTCTTTTGATTTACCACGGAGAGAGAAATGTTGATTTTTTGTGCCGAGATCTGTCGCCGACAGGAGTTACTTCATCTGAGATGAGAAAGGTGGAAGCTTCCGCGAGTTTTGGCTTAGATTTCGGAAAGGGGAGAAGAAACAGTAGGCGAGGATTTAGTGGCAGCTTCGTCGCAGATTAATAATGACCACTAAACGCGCCTACAAGCTGCGTATCCTGTTTTTGAAGATTGTAGGGTTTGTTGGTTGCTGGATCTGTTCTTGTTCTTCATATACCAAATTTTTTTCTTTTATTTTTCTTTTTGCCAAAATTTTGTCATCTTTTTTTTTGGTTACCTTCCTTGACATGGTTATGTTTAGAAGAATTTGTGGCTCATGCTTCCAACGTGAACTGCCTCAAGATAGGAAGGAGGACTTCTAGGGTTCTTGTCACTGGAGGGGAAGATCATAAGGTCAATCTTTGGGCTATTGGGAAACCAAATGCCATATTGGTTAGTTCCTCAGCAAATCATATTCATGCCCTTCTGTTCTCTTTGTTTATCTTTCTTGATAGCTTATAACTTCAAGCACGCTGCATTGTCTTGTTCGTGTTTGCAGAGCCTCTCAGGCCATACAAGTGCCGTGGAATCGGTCAGTTTTGATTCTTCTGAAGTGTTGGTGGCTGCAGGAGCTGCAAGCGGAACTATAAAGTTGTGGGATTTAGAGGAGGCAAAGAGTACTCACCTTACATAATCCTGGAAAATTTATATAATTTTATTTGTTTGGGTGATGAAAGTCATAAACAAACAAAATTTTTTTGTTGTTGACCATAATTCTGTTTTTCTGCAGTTATCCGAACTCTAACGGGTCATAGGTCAAATTGCATATCTGTTGACTTTCATCCGTTTGGGGAATTTTTTGCTTCCGGGTCATTAGACACCAATCTTAAGATCTGGGATATTAGAAGAAAAGGGTGCATTCATACTTATAAAGGTCATACTCGTGGGGTTAATGCTATTAGATTTACACCAGATGGTCGCTGGGTTGTTTCTGGAGGCGAAGACAACATTGTTAAGGTAATTCACTGCGAAGTAGGTCTAAGATCAATTTGTGAATTTTCTTTTTGCATACTTTGCAAATATACTGTTTTATTTTGCCTTTTTTATTTTTCCTTAACCTAGTATCTGTGTAGTTGGTATAAGGAGATTGATAAGATTGATGTGTTACTAGTTTAAGCTTTACTAAAAATTTTCACTGAAACATTTCCGGACAGCTATGGGATCTTACTGCTGGGAGGCTATTACATGATTTTAAGTGCCATGAGGGTCAGATTCAGTGCATAGATTTTCATCCACATGAGTTTCTCTTGGCAACAGGTTAGCTGCAATAGTGAATTTGTTTGGAATTTCTGCTTTTTATAAGCTACTTAATCTGAACCATCCTGTTAATCAATTAGTATGTCATGCTTAATCTCACCATTTTTTTTTCATATAATCGGTTATGGTTGTTATTCACACATCTCCGTATGAATGAAACATTGATGGACTATAGTAGTGTTGATACCAAATTGATTGATTTTCATTTAAATTTATTTAATATTAAATCCTGACATAGATAAAACTTATCATTTAAATAAAAGAAGTTTTATCCTAATGTAAATGATAAATAAGTTAGTCATTTTTCATGATAATAAAAGAATATATTGAAATAAAATACTAGAAATAATCCAAATAAATAAATAAATGCTAAAAAAAATTGAAATAAATCTTGATGCTTGTATTGTCTTGTATGAACTCTTTTAGGTATGATAGAGTTCTTTTCTCGAAAAGCCATGTTGGTATTTTTCCTTGGAGGTTTTGGTGGCATAGGTGGATTATGGTTATTTCATGAACAAGAAAGAGGATTTGGAAGCTTTAGGTCTAAACTTTGCATTCCATCATATAGCATTCTTTGATTGATATCCTAATGCACATTATGTTTTTAACAATCATAAATTTAGCATGTGTTTTTGGGTTAAATTCGAGTTGAGTTTTAGTTTTATGGATTGATTTAGGTTGGCTGGTCAACTCGAACTTGACTCGAGAGTTAATCAGTTCAACCGAAACTATGACTTTTTGAGTCACGTTTAAATTAGTTTGTCGTGTCAGTTCAATTTTTGACACCCCCATTTTTTCGACTTTTGAGGAGATTGATGGAAAGATGTACCCATTCCACTCTTCAGAGCTAGGTAGAATCTCAACTAATGTTATGTACATGGCTTGAAATTCTTTCCTCTAATGAAAGGGTCTTGACCTAAATCAAAGCCAAGCTCAAGTATGCCTAATTTTGTTATATCCCCCATCACTCATTTTCATTTCCCCATTTATGCTCTTTTAATTTTTAAATCTTTAAAACCAAGAAATATCATTTTTCCCTTTAACCATGGTCCTTCTCTTCTAATTGTTTGTCTGAGAAGTGCTTGATAATTAAGGAGCCATTTGGGATCACTTTTTATATATTTTTTCTTTTAAGTAAAATTGATTTGTGTTTTTTTAGCTATTTTTGTTTTTCATTCTTGAAAATTAAGTAAATTATTTTTTGAAATCTCTAAAGAATTTTTAGATTCTTTCAGGTGTCTTTATTTTTTTTTTTGAATGAAAGTTACCCAGAACTCGACTGTCATTGTTATTATCGGTCACCATTACTGTAGGTTGACATAGTCACCTTTCATCACCACCTCACATACAACAAAAACAAAAAGTACTCTTATTTAGGATACCAAACACGTCGTTATTTAATAAAATTTTTTAAAAAGTATGATTCCAAATGGCCTCTAAAGTATGTGTAGCAATTGTTGCAAATCCATCATTATCCACATGGAGGATTCTAGAATAACAAATTTTGTATTTTTATTTGCCTTCAAAGTCAATATCCGGGATATAAGATTTATACTATTTATAATTTCCAAACTTTGTCCATAAATATCATGAAATTGGATTATTTTCTTTTTTCATTTTGCACATTCTATTTTTAGCTTGAGCTTTTGTTAAATTTATTTTTTGATAATGTTTGACAAAATTATACATTAATTGTTTATAGGACACCCAATACAAGCATGACACTCAAAACAATAGGAATCTTTTTATTGATAAAAATTGCAAATTTATTAAAAAAAATGAAAAAAATGGACTTTATTGATATGAAATATTATTAAGTTCTTATTTTAATACATTGATGATATTTGTAGTGGCGATCTTCATTGTAATTGTGAATTTTATTTGATCTACATTGTTACACTAGAAAGCACATGCATACAATTTTTTTAAAAGCTTTCTTCGAAGTACGTTTTATGCGCAAAGAGAAGTGAAGCGGGCAAGCAAAGTGAAGTGAAGTGCTTGCCCGCTTCACTTCTCTTTGCTGAAGCTAGTTGGTTTGTTTCACGGTTTAATAAGAGTAAATAAAGGCTTCAGTTGGGTGTTCGAAGGAGCACAAAGAGCCAATAGTCGTGTTCGAGAGTTTGAAAGCACAACGGTGCCAACCATCTTATTCGAATTTGGCCTAGTTTTTGAAGCGCGCTTTGAACGTTATAGTCTTCCTTTGACTTTGGCCTAGACTACAGTTTAGTCAATCATGCCTCTCAATTCCTATATATTTTCTTATCTAACACCTAAACTTCAATTTTTACATATTATATTTAGATGTTAGATATGTATGTTAGATATGTAAAATGTAAATACATAGAAATTGGTTGTAAATACTCATGTTTGTAGGTAATGAGGGTGAAAAAAAAAGAGACTAGGTTTTAGAGAAAATTTTAATTAATATCAAAACATTTTACTTCAAAATTTTAATTTTAATTTTCAAAAGAAATAAATATTCGCTCTCAATTTTTTCCATCAATTTATGTATTGTACTACATTTTTTTATATTTTAAATCAACATTTAAGTTATATTTTGTATTTAATAGTTTTTCATCGATGTATTTATCCATTAATAGTTATATATAATATATTAGCACTTTGGTTAGTAGAAGGGCTGCTTCGCTATATGCTTTGTGCTTTGAAGCAAAAAATAAAGCCTTGCGCATTGCATTGGGTTTTGATAACACCGCATGCATATTTAGAATTTGTCCATGCATTTTTAGAACTAGTCGGATTGTTTTGGTTCCCTGTGTTTTAGCGGGAATTTCTTTCATTTTTTTATTCAATTTACTTAGATACAACCTAACCAGGATAAATTAAGTTTGCTTTATGTGGTTGACGGACATCTAAGTTTTTTCATTATTTTTTTCTAGCAACAATTGCACTAGGGGTAAGTCTTTCTGCATTAAGGGTCAGAAGATGCTCCTATATTTTTCAAGTATACTTTGGATACTAGGTATCATAGTAAAAAGCAAATATTTCTTATTGTTTAATAATTCCATTTTTTTGAAGCATAATAATGCTTTTGACAACAGACAATGGAAATTAAATAAATTTTTTCATAGGATCATGCAGTTTTACGGTTTTATAACTAATATTTTTCTGAGACATAACAAAGTAAATTCTAGAGTTAGAAAAGCTACAGCAACAACAACAATAGCAAAGCCTTAATCCCACTATGTGGGGTCGGCTACATGAATCCTTTTTCTCCATTGTGTCCTATTTAGTGTCATTTTTCATTTAGTAGTTCTAATAAATTAAGATCATTTTTAGAAAAGCTAAGAAGTAGAAAATAAAGATAAAAATTTTCTGGAGTTGGCTAATCATCTCAATTATTTTAATTTGATTGCTAGAAATTCCTCCTTACAGCAGCCTTAGCTTATAATTATTGTAATTAATATTTCTATCATAACGTTGCTGATGCTGATGGCTTCTTTATTAGTAGCCCTTTAACTTAGATGTTTATGTTCATCATCAGTATCATTTAGCAACCTTGATTTGTACATGAATTCTATTTAAACTCGTGTTTCTCAATCAAATGCGTTCTGTTATAACATGAAGCATATTTACTCAGGGTCATCTGATAAAACAGTCAAGTTTTGGGACCTAGAAACTTTTGAGTCAATTGGTTCCGCTGGACCTGAGGTACTAGCTTTTCAGAATTTATGCTAATGATTCTTAGTTTTCTAGAGATACTATTTTCAATTAGCTACTTATAGCTACTATTTTCAATTAGCTACTTATAGCAATGTTTTATTTTATGCAACTGTGAATCATGCCTCATTAACAGAGGAATTGAATATGTTGCAAGTATGGGAAGGGGTTTAAGCTCAGGAGACAATACTTTTTTAACGTCTTACTGAGTTTGCATATCTCCAACCATGTCTACCTTGGGGTGTTATTTAACATTATGCAATCTGAATATCTGAGATTCAAATTACTAGAAAGGCAGACTGAGATCCATCTTGTATTCATATTCTACTGTTTTACACATGGTTTCCATTTGGTGTTTCTCATGTTCTCTCTTTGCTCTGGAGCTTGCATCAATATTTCTGATTTTTGAGACCAAAAGTTAAAATCTTCATGCTAAAGGTTAAGAATGGAATCATTTTGGTTTTTTCTTTGGTGAGAGATTTTTTCTTTGGGATAGTTGGGGTCTTGGCATGAGCATTATGACCTCTTCTTCTTTGGGACTTAATTTTAATAGCCTACTTCTTTTATACCAATTGATTCAGGATGAGTTGATAAGTTTTAAAATGTAGATTTTCAGCGTCCTTTAAATTAAGCCTACTAGCGTTATGCCTAGTTTTTAGTTGAAGATTTACAAAGGTGCAACTTAACCTGTTTTATTTTGTCTTTTGTATGGTAAAGACAAACGGAGAGAGAAATAGACATACAAAATTAAAGAAAGAGCCATTATAATTTTATTGTAGTTTTATGTTGGAAACTTATCTAATCTAGGATGTTTAAAGATGATATTGAAAGTAAACTTCACGAGCAGTCTTTTGCTGTGAACGTTCTACCCTTCTTTGGAAGTCATTTTCAATGGAAGCACCTGTACACTCAGGTATTTCTCACATGAAGGTAAAGAGCACAAAATAAATTTCTGCACTTAGCAAAATTTTTCATTCTTTCAACTGGCAATGTAAGCCATCACATCAAGTATTTATCACAAGTGAGAGAGAGAGAGGCCAAAGGTGGTTGCTGGTCAAGGCCTTTTGAAGAAGAATGAAGTAATTGTGGTTGGAAAATTTGTAGTTTTGCTTATACAGGTTCCAAGAAGATACTTTATGGATGATTGATGTTTTGGAATATTTACATGCATACCACTCAATTCCTATGTATTTACATATCTAACACCTAAATTTTTAATTTTTACATATATGCCATTTTATATATGCATGAAAAGGTGTCTTTCACTTTTTAGAAGTCAAAATAATGCTATTTTTTATGTGATATGAAATATTTTGGTGGTATAAGTGTAAAAAGTAAAGTTTAGGTGTTAGATATGTAAATATATTAGAATTGGGTGTTATGTATATAAATGCCCCTAATTTTTAATGATTTTCTTGGGCATGGAGGGGATCAACCACTTTATGTGGAATAAAAGTTACAACAATCAAAGGATTTGCCTTAGATAGATGAAACAACAATTGTAATCAATGCAACAATGATGATGATGATGACAATGATGATGACATCAACTCCCAATGATTTTAAAGGATTTTCCTTAAGTGAATGAAGCTAAATATTTTTAAAGCAAATTAAGAGAAAGTTGCTAAAACTAATCATTTAACAGTGAATGACCTTTCTAGTGAATAAGTTATTGTTTGACTTCATCATCTGCAATATGAATTACATGGCAATACAAGAACTGTTAGATTTACAATGACGGGTTATCAAGGGTACTGGTGATGAAGATGCATCTATAGAATTTTTCCACAATTCCGTAGGCAAATTATAGGTATATGCATTAATAATATCATTATTAGTATTCCTATGGTATAAAGTTAAATCTGTCATATTGAACACTGGATATACATCAACATTCATTGAAAAATCAAGCTCATGGGCATTATCATTTTTCTTTCTAACAATTCTATATGATCCCATCCTTTTTATCATTTTGTTTGACAAATATTTACTTATATGGGTTATTCTTTTTTCTAATTAAATAATTATTTATGCATATAATACATTCATATATGATATACGAGTCATGAGTACTTAGCATTGAAGCAAAAAAAGAATGCTTAGTGCTTTAAAAACATAGCCTGGTTGGTTTGAGTTGAGGCCAAGGATGTTTATTCTAAAGGGTGTTCATGTGATTACTTGGCTCATGGCAGAAGGACTTGTCTTCTAGTTCTTTTAAGGAAATAAGGATGTTATCTCTATCTATTGATATAAAATGACCCTCACAAGTTGTGATTAGGATTGAAATCTTATTATGGCTCAAGGGGATGAAAACTAAGATTGGACTCACGTTAGTGACACTAACTTTGCAACTGGCCTATGGTTTCTAAGCTCAATAAGTGCAGGTTTTTGTCGTTAGGTCTTCATTACCCCAACTATTTGGCTGGAATTCTAATTTTAGCAACTTGTTTGTTGATGTATGCTTTTAAAATGATTTGCAAATGAAATGACATTTTAATTGAAACATGATGAATGAGTGATGAATTTAATGAAGTACTAATTAGTAGAAAATCAGATGATTTTAAGAAATAAATGCCAAACAAATGATAAGGTCAGCAAACAACCTAAGCTGAAATTTCTTATGCAGGTAATACAATATGAGAAAGTAAAATTTCGTTAAACTAAATATATTTGCGACTACAAAAGCACGGTGCAACTTAATTTGATTTTAAATATGTAGCATGATGAAGGTTTAACATATAAATTTATTACAATTATTTCAATTAAACTATTTATTGTTGTGACTATTTACTAGTTGAAAATTAGCAGGTCACAATCTTAATGAAAGTGATATTTATTGAACAAGAGGGTAACAAATGCAGAGAGGAAAGAACACAAAGTTGAAGAAACAACAATGCTATTCATGGAGTAGCTTTATGGTGGAAACTTAATTAAATTGGGATGCGTAACAAATATATTGATGGTATCCTCCATTAGTAGTCCCTCGTTATGAAGTTTATCTTCTTCTTTGGGAGCCCATCTCTTAGTGAACAAATTCACACTCCAAATATCCCTACTTGAAGGGCAAATAAAACAAAGAGAATTCCAACACTTCGCTAAATTTTTTGAACTTGGTAACTTCATTTGATGGCTCTTTGGGCTTGGTAGACCATCTAATTTGAGTCAATTTTACAAATCCTTTGATTGCATTGGGTCGAGTTATTTATGGCTTAGTGTACGTTTTCCTATAACCATTTGAAGCGTCCACCTTAAATCCTAGTTGGTGAGTTTTTGAACTTAGTTTGGCCTGTAATTCTTGAGCTTTGATGGCAAGTTCTCTCCTCTTGGGATCGGGTTGGTGAATCTGTCTTGAACTCGGTTTGGCGAGCTTGTACTAAGCATGTTTGTTGAGCTTAGTTCTTGCCCCTGGCGTTAAGTGGATCCTCTTTTAAATCATGTGGTTAAGTCTGCTCTTGGTATATACATTTAATTCCTTGATTCTCCTTTATCTTTGAAATGTCTCTACGAAAAGAAAATAGAAGGGAAAAAATGCTATTTTTTGTGTAGATATGCTTAATACTTAGCTTGCTTCTTTGGATGATCCCATGCTCTCATTGTGTCAAGCTTGTTGCTTGGATTTCCCGCGAGCGATTGATTAGTGCAATAATTGGCATTCAAGGCGCTACGAATGAGTAGTTGGTGGAATTTGAAAAGTTAATGTACAATTTTACCTGTGTTTGTTCTTTATTCTATGTTAGTGGCGGTGCAAGTCCTATAAATAAGCTGTCTTGTTTTGCGATGAGAGGGTTGTGTAGTCTTTGTTCTTTTTTTTTTTTTTCGTTTCGTTGTGATTTTAGCTCTACACACACTTTGTGAGAAAAAGAAATTTTTGTCAGAAACCTTGATATTTCCAAGGATGTTGTAATTGCGAACATTAGAAAGAGGCAGATGGCGGTGGACTATGAAAGAAATTAAAAGATAAAGATGAACCCCTTAGTGGAGAGTGAGAAGGATGGGCCAGTAGCCCCATTTTGTGATGTTGCTCCTTTCGTATTTTTGGTCAACGAGTCGCCTCGCATGGTAGTCATTTTGGAGCAATTTGTTGAGGGATTCATGGAGTTGGTATGGAAAATTGTTTTTTAATTTTTAAAAGTGTTGCTGATGTGGCCGTCTTCTTATCCTAAGGTGGCCTTGGCAACTCTGGTTATACGGAGATGAACGTTGTTGTAGGGGTGGAGGGGCGGACTAATGGGAAAGTAGTGATAAAAATAAGTTGTCTTCTTTTTGTATCGGTATATATCTTTTATTTATTCTTCTGTACTAATGTGATTTATAGAGTTTCATTCTGTTGATGGTTTTCTACGTAATTACCATGTTCTAGCTGAAGTCAACTTTGTGGCTGCTTTGATGAGTATCTCATGAAGTACTTGGGCTCTTGACTTGGTGCGTTAGCTGGATAATACGTTCTCCAGCAGTGGGAATGGAAGTGCCCAAATGGCTACTAGAGAGCGCGAGTGTGCTAGCTTGCCTAGGTTTTTGGGGATGCTCGAGGAGGTGGTAGCCAAGTTATCTCTATACTTGGCTCCTCCGATTGAGGCCTAGCGGATTCTAAAAAGATACTTAAGGTTCGGTTAATTTTTAATATTTTCCAATCATGAGAGGATTGAAAGCTTTATGAATACGGAGGGAGAAGAGAGTGGAGTTGGTTCTGGGCTTGAAGCAGAAATTTGGGTTATTTAGCTGTAAAATGCATGGCTTGTAAAGTTCACACCATACATAAAAATCTTACTATAAAATTGTTACTAAGAAAACTATTATACTAAAGAAGATTAGGTGCATTAAATGAACTCTCTAATGGCCATGATGGCGATGAAGGCTGTAAAACATTGCATCACTAGATAGTGATATAATAACTTTTACAGCAGCTTACATTAGTGATATTCAACTATTTAACAGATGACATCTAATAGGTATCCAAAGCATAAATATCTTGTTGTCTCTTGGTTATTCTCAGCTTTATTATCACTCACTCATAAGAGGTAGAGGTCATAGACTTCATTGACATTTTTTCCCCTCCATTTCTAGACTTCTGGCATCCGTTCTATGACTTTCAATCCCGATGGAAGAACTCTGCTTTGTGGGCTACAAGAAAGCTTGAAGGTGAGCTGCCATTACATGGTTTATTAGTTTAATCTTGTTATATATAGAGCCTACCAGTGGTCATTCAGCTATAAGATGATTATCAAATTTATTTTAAAGGTTTTTTCATGGGAGCCACTACGATGCCATGATTCGGTGGACGTGGGATGGTCGAAATTGTTAGACATGAATGTTCATGATGGAAAACTTCTCGGATGCTCATATAATCAAAGTTGTGTTGGGGTATGGGTTGTAGACATTTCGGTATGTTGGTGTGCTCCTTATTTTCTTTTCTTCATTTTTTTTTCTTGGCTTGTTTATGCCAACTTGGTCTTTGGATATAAAAGCTGGCCTCTTTTTTCGGCAGCGCCTTGAGCCATATGAAGTTGCTAGCATTGCTAAATCAAGTAGTCAATCTGACTCCAAATCTTCTTCAAGCAGTACTTCACCATTTCAACAAACTGATAACAGCATGAAGGCCAGTGTTGGGAGGCTATCAATTTCTCAAAATTCGGATGCTTTAGCTAAGGAAACAAAACTTGTTACATGTAAGTTATCTTTATTCTATCTCCATTTAATGGAAAATTCTCTTGATGTTTTTTTATTCTTGGGAAATTTACATATGTAGCTTACAATTCTTATGTATTTACATATCTCACATATGTATTTACGCACCTAACTTTTGAATTTCAATACATAGTGCTTGGGCGCTTTAAACCAATGCATGAATGGTGTATTTCACTTTTAAAAAGTGCTAATAGTGCTATTTTTGATTTGATATTAAAGATTTGAATAATTTGAAAGCTTAGATGTGAGATATTTAAATAAGTACGAGTTGTGTGCTTTTATTTTTTTACCTGCTTGCTGCCTTTCATCTGACTTTACAACTATCTTCTTTTCTCACCTGAAGCTACTGGAAATGTCCTTGGTACTTCTCAAAAACCTGTACTAAATGCTGGTGCTAAAATGGCTACTGTAAATTCATCAACCAACACAACCTCAACGCCAGGTGGTGTAAGCCTAAAAAGAAGTATTCCCAAGGGAAATAGTACTATTGGTATGCAGACAAATAACAAAACTGATGTGGTACCTGTCATTGTTCCCAGAACCAGTGCAAGGCAAGAACAAGTTGCAGAACCTAGAAAAGAAATTGGTGCTGAAAGAAAAGAACCGGTTATTGAATCTAAAAAAGAAACTGTTGCTGAAAGAAAAGAATTGGTTACTGAATCTAGAAAAGAACCAGTTATTGAATCTAGAAAAGAAACTGTGGCTGAAAGAAAAGAATTACTTACTGAATCTAAAAAAGAAGTTGCTGGTGTAAAAACAGTAACTTATAACATCCAGTCAAAGACAACTGATTCCCGTAGACCACTAACTTCCAGAGATACTTCTGACAGAGTAAACATTCCTATTCATTCTGGACTCTTGGGCAGTAGAAATGGTGATGATGGTATTACAGACCAGGATTTGTTGACTGCTGCAAATGGTGTAAATCATCCATCAACTAACACTGAAAGAAGAGTGGATGCAGTTAGGAGTATTGGAAATGTGAAGTTGAGAGATAATCAATCTGTGGAGCCAAGCACAAGCTATCAACATGAAACTTGTATGTTTAGATTTCTCTAATGCTTTTTGAGACTAGGTGACAATTTATTTCATGCTATTTTTAGCCTGCTTACCATGCTGCTGTCTTTTTTGTCAGTTACCTTTGATTTCCTGTTTGAATATGCTGTTGCCTCCTTAAGATTTTGTATTCTAATTTTCTTCATTTGTTTCATTGAACATATGCAGAAATAAATAAAGGTAATGGATAAGGAGCATGTCAAGAAAAGAATTTAAATATTTTTTTAGGTTTATAAATTTCATTCTTAAATGCAAGTTTTGTCTTTATGACTGGTTTTGGCTTGATCTTAGTAATGATTTTAGTATTGATTGCCATTTTGCTAACTCAAACTTAAGACTTCAATTCCATGTTTCATGATGCTTATTGATGGTGCATAGGTTGCTTACTTAAAGATGTTAACCATAGTATTATTTAGTGCGACAATGTCATTGTTTGTGTCGTGCTTTATTTTATGTTTTTATAGTGCGTTAAGCTCATTATTGGTGGTTAAATGATTGGTCATTTAGATTAGGTTTTCTTCTTGTTCTATGGTAATTATGTCATTTTCTGAGACATGCTTGTCTTCGTAAAATAGTGGCTAAAATCATGTAAATTGAGATAGTCATAGAGTCAGTTGATTTTATGATTTGTTGCTTTTTATGTTTTTCTTTTAGTTCATTTTTTTTTATATGCCCATTACTTGCATCAATTTGGTGGCAAAATAAAGCTGTTATTAATTTTGAACATATTCATGAATTTCTTATTAGTTTTAGTTCTTTTTAAAAATTTCTATAATTTTCCTTTGATTACAACAATATTTTTTGCATTTTCTCATCTTTTCGCACTTTCTCTTCTCATGCAAACAATTTCTATCTATGCACTTTCTCCATCTGGTGATATCTTTTTTTGAATCTTAGATTTTCCCACCACCTCTTCTATTATTCACCCTTATTGGTACTAATTTGACTTGGACCCTAGTCATTCGAGCGTATGAAAGCAAAAGTGGCTTCGACTCATTTACTAACACAACTAAGAAAGGAAACTCTTCTACTTCGTTGGCAAGGAGCTCATCATTAATATTATGAACAACCCTAAAGAAGAAGGCTTCATTCTTATATCCAAATAGAATAACAAAATTTTTTATTCAAACACTAATTGCTTGTGTAATAGTAGATAGTACTTTTCTTCTCTCTTTTTGATAGAGATAGAGGATGAGCTACCCATAGCAACATAAATATAGCCTAAATAAAGAGGAGGATGGATGACATATAGGAACTTTTATTCATCTACCCAACAACACAACATAAAATTTTCTATTATTCAATAACAATTTTATGTTTCAGACTAGATTTTTCTTAAAAATTTTTTTCAGTTTGAGAAAATTAATGGTGTAAGGATTTTTACTTTTGAGTGTCAATATTATTTTAGCTGTAAAAAGTATTGTAACTTAGAACTTTTCCATAATCGGTTCTATTTGATTTCTAGTCAATTTTAGCTCTATTTTAGATTTAAAATTTCGTAAATATCAATTTTTTATTTTTCCTCATCTTGCTTAAAAATAAATCTAGTTAAATTAAAACTAAGACTTACATTGAATAGAAAGTATGCTGATAAAGTATACATATAAAATACAATTTAATATCCATATTTATGTACAGTGAAATATTAATTTTCAGTCTACTTGATACTCGTAGTTGAATCTTTCTAAGTCGAGTCAGCTTAATTTGAAATGATTTTGATTCAAGTTGAGCTTGAGTCCAACTTTAACTAAATTATTCAGTTTGAGTTGTGTAAAATTCAATGATTAGATACTACCTATATAACTATTGTTAATTAAAGTCTATTTCAAGGTTAGTTTCATGTTTTATGTTATGTTTGCCTATGTTTTCTTTAAATTTAATTATTTGATGTTAAAATGTCATTTGTCATTAAGGATTTATTTGATTTTTGTTTTTACATTTCTTATAAATCAAGCATAGTGTTATTTGAGATGACGATGAATGAAATATTTTAATTACAGTTCCATAGTATTTCATCATTCTATTGTTGCTCGAGGATTTACATCTCCTTTAAGCTTTGAGTATTAAATGCCATGTGTCAAAGAGTTAATAGCCCGCTATTTGTAGGAGTGAAAATTGATAAATTGAAGATTATTGATTTTTTTTTATTTCAATTTCTTTTTGGTTTTACACTCCAATACTTAGTCTTTGTTTGGTGTTGATTTCTTACCACCGCCTTCTGCTTTCTTGAATAGTAGAAACATGTCTCATGTCTTTTTGTATTTTAAACTTTCATTTATTTAACATACCATTGAAAATTTATGGTTGACACATTTTATGTTATGTGATGTAATCTAAACCGATGTGCATGTGTTGCTCATAAACCTTGCTTCTCTTTGATTCTCATTGCAAGGGCTCATTTTAGAAGTGCTTGTTCTTAAGCCATAACTCTACTCGTAAAAATTTTAAATGCTTGTTGATCTTTTTGGTTCTACCACTCCAATACTTACTCTTTGTTTGGTGTAGATTTTTTACCACCACCTTCTGGTTTCTTGAATAGTAGAAACAGGTTTTAAGTTGTCTTCTTGTATTTTAAAATTTAATTTATTTAACATGCCATTGAGAATTCATGGTTGACGCATTTTATGTTATGTGATGTAATATAAACCGATGTGTATGTGTTTCTCATAAACCATGCTTCTCTGTGATTCTCATCGCAAGGGGATATTTTAGAAGTGCTTGTTTTTAAGCCATAACTCTACTCATAATAGTTTTAAATGTATGCTGATAAATAAGTAGATCTGAGCGAGTTTTTTTTTTGGGCTTTTTCAACGTAGATGACATAAGAGTGCATAAATCAAGAGATTCAAGCTCCTTGGAAATGCCAAGAGGAGGTATGTAATTTCTTTTCTTTATGAATTATTGCCTGCAGAAAATAATTAATGATGGCTGTTTAGCAAGAACAAGAACACTTGTACAAAATTGGGAAAGGCGGGATGGCTCTTCTGGATTTGAAGGCCCACCTAGATGCAATTCTTCTGATAGTTTTCTTTCTGGAATGAACGGGTCTTACACAATGGTAAGATTTTATGAGGGTTACATTCAATTTTGGATAGTTCCATTGAAGTTTCTGCTAAATGATTCCTCAAAATTTATAATCCTTCAAAGCTTTGGGATCTTACAATGCTTCAGAAATGTTCAATTAATGTTTACTTGTTTTTAAAACATATCAGTTATGCAAAGAAGTTGTCAAAGTGCTGTCTCTATTACAACACCTTAATGTTTGTTAATTATTTTTTGTGCAGACAGCCGCATGCATTTCTTTGGGTGCTTATCATATAGTTTTGATGATCTTCTTTTTTTCGAATTTTTTTCTTATAAATTAATTTTTCCATTTTCTATGCCTTCCCCTTTCAATTGGTGGAATTTCTTGTTAGTAACTGGATTGTTGTAAAGTTAGCAGCAGCCTTGCTAAGAATATGAAATAATTTAAACTATGGAAATTTGAATCTTCAATTTAGTATTTGAATCAACGACTCTGTATTATTTATAATGGGTTTACTACAACCCAAACAATCTATTGTTTCTAGTGCGGTTTTTTAACTCTTCAATTCTGATCCAAAAAAATACATAGTTTCCTCAGACTTAATCGATAACAATCCAGCATAGCAATAATTCTGCATCATATTTGAGGGAAAAAACTAAATTGAGCACATTTTCGTTTCAGACCAAAATGAGCCACATAAATACTCTAAGAACCATTTAACAGTTTCCTCTTAAATCTATTTGATGGCCACCTATTTTCATGCATATTTATTATCTTCAAGAATTTAGTCTGATATTTGCCTTAATGTTACATGTCCTCTAGTTGAACTCACCATCAATCAGCTTTTTATAGAAACTTTTTAATAAATTGGTATATTTGAACTTGTCTTAAACTTCTTTTGCAATGATTCCTTAATTTGGTTCTATATGTTGCAATTAACTATGCTGCTAACTTGTGTGATTCTAATATTCAAGCTATGTTTTTTGAACAGAGAGTACGTCCTCCAACTGTGGGCAATGAAACTGTTTCTGCTAGTGATGAGGATGCTATTGCTGATTTATTGGACCATCATGGAGAGTTCATTGACACTGCACAGTCTCGCTTGAGAAAATTACAAGTATTTTCCATTTGACTGTTAGTTTTTTGTTTTCTAATTGCTTTCTATGCAACATTTACTCTTTATCATGTCTTCTTTCTGATATGCAACAAAAATCCCATATAAAAGAAACTAGAGAACAAAGAACAAGCTGATATGGATTTTAGTCCGTGTTATCTGAACTTTTTTCTTTGCAACTACACTTACTTATTTATGGCTCATTTACTAAACATGCAGGGGAGGATGAAATCATTTTCTTAATTAGATTGTCATTTATCTATTTGCAATGGTTTAACAAACTGCTAGGACAGAACTTGATAGATGATGTCATGATGGTGTGGTGCTCATTGGTTTCAGTGATGTTTGTCTTTGGTTTGAATTGAGATTTATATTTTTTGTCTTAGGAAATTTCGTTGTATTTGATAGTTTCTGCCTGGCTGGCTTCAGTATTTGGTGTCTGCGAAATGCTACCCTTATTTTTTTCTTTTTTGGTTGAGATGGTGATGGGTGGAGGACGGATGGAGCCATTAGCATGTGAGATGAGCTACTATAATAAATGATAAGAGAACTTTTTTTCAGTAATCATTGTCTTCTCTCTTTTGATAGACATAATGGAACTAATCATCTTGGATATATTTGGATTTTTATGGGATTAATATTTTATTTGGGTTTGAACCTTGGCTATTTTGGCTTATTCTTTGGATTTTTATGTTTTGTATCTAGTTTTATATTTTTGTAGAAGTTTATGTTGGCCTTCATCACTGTTTATTCTTGCAATTCAAGAGGATGCAGGAGTTTGTTTAGTACATTGTCTATGGCCGCAAAAGGTGGTATACAACAATGCTTTATGGAGTAAAAACTATAACAGCCCTTAGAAGTAGCGTTGAACTAACAATAAGCCTGCTCTCATGTGGCCATGTGTTAAGGTTATAATTTTATCTTTGGGTCTATTGTTATTGAACCCACTTTAGGGCCGCCTTCCTTCAGAGTTACAAGTCTAATTTATAATTTTTTTTTCTCTTATTATTTTGTTGTAAGTTCTGCCTATAGGCTTCTCGTATCTTTTTTTTTTAAATTTTTTTGTTGTGTTAGTCCTATCTTTGGACCTTTCACATAATTTAAGCCCTAGCTCCATGCTTTGTGAAGAAGGTTTGAATCTCTTATCTCGCATGCCGTCGTTAGGATTGATGACATAATTTGAAGCGGGCATCTCCCTCTACGAGAGCGGGTGTGACACCCCGGTCACGCAAAGGGCACAGGGCCTAATTGAACCGTTCCACTTGAATTTTTTTTTTCAATTTTCAGAATATTTCCTTTTGTTCTTCCTTTATTTATAGTCATTTTCTGCATGTGTTGTATTAGGGTTTGGAGAGTCAGTTTTTGTTTTGATGTTCTTCGAGACAGTTGTCAGCGTCTCCATTTCCAATCTAGAGCTGTATCCAAGGATCGACTGGTGCTCCAACTATATCTCGCTCCCAAGTTGATTATATTTCCTTCCCCAATTCCTCAGCATCCCTCCCGCTTCACTCAACGCATTCTTACTTGTTGCAATTCGACAACAGCTCTTTTCCTGTTCTTCCTACAGCTCCTGGCTGTCCCACATCTCTTCAGTGCTGCAGCTGTGCCTGTCCTCTCCCTTGCTATTTCTGGCAGGAGTGCCTTTCCAGCCACTCCTAACCATTCCCACGCCTTCCTATGCCGCCATTCGCGGCTTTAGCCACCGGGAACAGCGCCTGTTTGCTGTCCACCTCCAGTTTCTGCCTTCTAGTCACCCTTTTCCCTCACCTCCAGCACTCCGGACCGTTCCTTTCACCCCTGTCTTGCTGGTATCTACCTGTCCAGCCTTCCCCGTCGCTTTCCCTCCTCCAGGTGGCTGTTTTCGTCCGCTGTTCCGGCCTTCTCGTGCAGTTGCTGCCGACCAGAACCACCTCTATTCACTGTTTACTTGCTGTCCTACCCCCGACCTCCTAGCTGCCGCCCAGGACAGTAAGGACCTCCTGTTCCGTTACCACCTCCGTATACTTTCTCCATCTCCCCGCCTTGCCTCCACCTCTCCACCACCACCAGCTTAGATTACCTCTGGTCATGTGTTATGTCTTGTGTGTTGTTATTTTCTATTTCAGTTGTCATGTTGCAAGTTTTTATTTGATTTCAACAATTATATTTGTTTTCTTATTACTGTTTGGGTTATATCTGGTATCATAATCCTCAGACAAGCTCTTAACTAATCAGAACAAAGCTATGAGAAACGCATAGGGCTCTTAACTAATCAGAACAAAGCTACGAGAAACGCATAGGGCTAGCTGCCAATTCTGAATGACCTCAAACCAAGCTTCTATGCTTTGAAAGCCAAATCTACTCACCTTGGAGCTGTTACTGAAAAAATTCAGCCAAATTCAATCTTAAAATCTGTTTATCCTAAATTTCTTGGCGTTCAAATTGGTTTATTACAATGAATATTACACTCGCAAGAGTCGATTTACTTAATCACTAAATTCTAACTCAAAAATCAAATTTAATTTGGGGCTCTTTCTGGAGTCAACCTATGGATATGACACAGTTTTGTACTACGTAACTTAGCTTCTTAGGAGCAAGGGATTTATATTATGGGAAAACTGTAATGTCAAATGTTCATTATGAAGTATGATGAAAATCACCAAAACCAGGAATGCTTAATATATTAGATATTATGGAATTCCGAGTTTCCTATTTTAGTGTTATCCTTTTTTATTATGTGATTTTTTTTTGGAGCTAGTTTTTTGTTTGATAAGTTGTAATGATTGTAATTAAGTTTATCCTAGTCGTTCCTTATTATTTAAGGAAAGAAGTTGTAATTTGATTATGAAGAAATAAGAGGATATTGTTTCTACAATTTTTTTTTTTGGTATCAGAGACCTGTTCGAATACTATTTTCTGATTGAACCCTAGCTTTCTCGGTTCAAACAAATCTTTCTCTCCTTCGTATATGACATCCAAGAGGGTGACTGCACGCTTCCTTCCTTTAGAGTGCATCACCTATGAATTAGGGCTAGTTTGGATCACATAACTACTCTCTTGGACACACGTCTGCTCATCTGCACCGCCCGACTGGTTCTGCTACTCACCTGGTAAGCCAATGTTGGCTTGTCTGAATCAAACAATTCTTCATCTGCGGACTTTCTATGCCTCATTTGTCGTCTTCCCCTGCTGTCCTTGCGGCAACCATCATCTGCAGGCCCTCAAAATTCTCCCCATAGCTAGAGGTCTTACTGCAGGCCTTCCTCTGTATTCCTCAACTCTCCCTGTAGCTGAAATCTTGCTAATGCAAGCCCTCCTTTTCTTTCTGCATTATAATTCTTCCTGTAGGATCACCTCTGTTCAGTTCTTGCGCCCAGATTCTCCCTGCAGCCTAGATTATCCTTGATGCAGGCTCTCCTTTGACAGAACCCTACTACAACAACAACAACCGCAACATCTAATTTTCTTGCCTGCAACAAATTCACCTTCCAACAGTCACCTCTCTCCCTGTTGGGATCCTCGTGCTGCAAGCCCTCCACTGTTTATCTTGTTGTTGTCAGACATTTCTTCCAACAACAGCAGTCACCTCAATGGCCGCCAACTCTCTTAGCAACTGTTGGACCTCTCTACCATCACAGTAGTAGCCAAGTCCTCTTCTGTAGTAGCTATTTGCCGGACCTTTCTTTCTACAATAGTTTCGACCAACTTCTTCCCTGTAACTAGCTACAACCTTAAATGCACATAAAGTTTATGACCAAATATGGTATGAAGATGTCGAGTGCCACTCCATAGGTGAATCATCCTTTGTGTGGAACATTGCAGGAAATTTGGTCACACAAAGGATTACTACTGGAAGCTACATCGAAACTTGCAGATGGAAACCTGATTAAGGGAGGAAAGACCAAGACAATAAGGTCTATGCTACTGGAAACAACATATAAAACCTTAGTCCGTTCACCTGGAAACAACTAGAGGTGTTGAAGAAACTTCTTTCGAGCAAAATTAAGCTGCCTATTAATTTGATGATAAATCAAAGTATTATGTCCTCATAACTCATTGACAATAAAAGGTTTTGATTTTGGATAATAGATTCAGGTGCTTCTGATTACATAATCGACTTTTGATTTGTCAGATTTGTTGATGGATCTCACTCCAAGATTGTTGGGAATGGAGAAATGAAAATCTCTAAAGATATTCAACTCTTTTTTTTGTTATATATCTGCTATATATTCGCTAATTATATTGTAACTTATTGTCTATTAGCAAATTTACCCAGGACTTGAATTATATTCCTAAATTCATTCTAACATCTGTAAATTTTATGTGGTCGATCCGGGGAATATTCGATAGTGCTAAATTGCATCAAAGTCTATATCCGCTCAAGGAAAGTTATTCTTCTAACACAAAAGTGTCTTCTTCATCATGCTCTTCCCATATTCTTGAGTCTGTTATGTCTGATTCTGTTGAAAGTCAAGTTCAATTTTGACATCGTCATTTTGGTTATCCCAATTTTCATTATGTTGCGATGTTGTACCATCTTTTCTTTATTAATAAAAAAATCAGAGTTTTATCAATTGAATCCCACCAATTGGCTAAACATACTCGGTCATATCTATTATTTTTTCTAGTACAAGCCCTCACAACTTTTCTCTATCACTACAGTGATATTAGGGGACCATAAAAATTGAAAACCTTTAATGGAGCCAGATGGTTTACCTTCTTTATAGATGATCACATTAGAACTAGTCAGATATTCTTCATGAAGGAAAAATCTGAAACTGTACAAATCTTTCAATCATCACATAATATGATTTCCGCTCAGTTCTAATACAAAATTTAGATCTACAAAACTGACAATGTAAGTGAATACTTCAATTCTATTATTGGACCTTACCTTGCAAAGAACAATATCATCAATTTGAGTTCCTGTGCTGAAACTTCACAATAAAATGGGATAGTTGAGATGAAGAATGGACTCTCCTCGTGGTCTCTTGGTTTATAAAACTTTCTCACAATGTTCCAAAAATTTTCTGGAGAGATGTGCTCACAGCCGCCTAATTCATTAGGAGATGCCAAGCAAGGTCCTTGGATTCAAAGCTCTCTTGATATTGTGATGTCAAAATACTATCATGTCAGAGCCTTCATTCAATCTTCCTCTGAAAATATTTGGTTTTTTCTTTTGTTCACATTCACCAACCAAATCACATAAAGTTTGACTCAAAATTCATCAAATGTAATTTTTTTGGGTATGCATCTAATAAAAATGGTACAAATGCTATTCCCCCATTACAAAAAAATATATTATAACTCCATGGATGTTACATTCCTTAAAAATTAACTGCTGCCCCAAATTTGGTATTCAAGGAGTCTCAGTGAATATCAAATTTGGGAAACTATTCTAGATATCCACACTAATCAAGAGTCATCACAACCAATTCTTCCTTCTAACAATCCTGTCTCTCAAGTTTCACAAGTTGAGAACATCCAACCTGAGATTGACAACAAGGAACTTCATTTGTATAGTAGGAGAAAGAAATCCATCAAGCAGGATAAGGACAATATGCAACCACAAAACTGTTCACAACCAAACCTAAATTCACACATCTCTGAAGTTTCGAAGGAGGTGAAATCCAGTGGAGAAGATATAGAAAGTTACACAAATTTTCCTATCCAGGATTATGTTGCCTATGGGAAGTTATAATCAATTTATAAAGCTTTTGTATCTAATCCTGATAGTGTGCTATACTATGTCTATTCATGAAATATTTTGAAGTCCAGAATGAATTAAAGCAGTTGAAGAACAGATCCAAACACTTGATCTAAATGACAAAGGGATCTTTACAAAGCTTCCTCTAGATAAAAAAACCTACTAGGTGCTAATGGGTTTTGAATGTCAAGTGCAAAGTAGATGAGAGCATTAAGAGATTTAGGCTAAGTTGGTGGCCAAAGATTTCACTCAGTCTTATGGATTATAATATAAGAGACATTTGCTATAGTGGTCAAGTTAAACACTTTAAGAGTTCTTTCCTTGTCAGTGAATCAATAATGAATATCACATCAACTTGATATCAAGAATGCAAATAGAGACTTTGCGGAAGAAGTGTATATAGATTCAAAAATGACTGAAAATAAATATTTGGTTTGTAAAGTAAGATAGTCACTTTATGGCCTCAAATAATCTCTTAGAGCTTGGTTTGAAAAGTTTGTTAAGGCTATAAAATCTAATGAATATTTCCAATGTCGAACATATCATACACTGTTCATAAAGCTTATACATGCAGGTAATAAGGTGATACTCATTGTCTATGTTGATGATATGATCCTAATTGGTGATAATGAAAAGGAGATTGAGAAGATTAAGGAGGTCCTTGTAACTAAATTTGAAATTAAAGATATATGAGCGATGATATACTATCTGTGCTTGAAGTGGCCAGATCTAAGATTGTTATTGTGATATCCCAAAGAAAGTACATTCTAGACCCTACTATAAGAGATAAGAATGCTGTAGTGCGAACCAGCTAAAACTTCTATGGATTTCAACAAAAACTTACATTCTTGTGGAGAAAAGAAACAAGTGGAAAAAATTAGATACCAGAGATTGGTGGGTAAGCTTATGTACCCGTCACAAAAGAGACATGATATTGCTTACTTTGTTGGGATTTTAAGTTAACATATGAATAGTCCAAATGAAGAACATTTGGAAAAAAATTACCGAATATTAAGATTTCCTAAGACGACCCTGGACAGATGATTAGTTCTTAAAAAATTAGACAACAAACAGGTAGATGTTTACACCAATGCTAGTTGGGTAGGAGAACTCACAGACAAGAATTTTTTTTATCGGTATTATTCTTATTTCATGGAAAATCTTGTCACCTGGAGGAGTAAGAAACAAACAATAGTTTCTAGAAGTAGTACAGAATCTGAGTAATGAGCATTTGCTTTGAGTATTTGTGAAGGAATGTAAACCTGGAGGTTACTAAGCGAGTTAGGATAATCCATGGTTAATCCCTTAAAGTTGTTTTGTGATAGTCAAGCTACCATTAATATTACAAAAAATCCCGTTCATCATGACAATACCAAGAGCATTGAGATTGATAGACATTTTATCATTGAAATTGTCAATAGAAGTATTATTCACTTAATTTACGTCCACCTCATCTTCAAGTTGCTGATATTTTCACTAAATCTCTACTTCCAAACAACTTCACTGATTTGAATTCCAAGCTGAGTTTTTATAACATCTATGAGCCAGCTTGAGGGGGATTGGAATTTCGAGTTTCCTATTTTAGTGTTATCCTCTTTTGTTATGTCATATTTCTTTTCTTTTTGAGTTAGTTTATCTTTGCTAAGTTGTAATGATTGTAATTAAGTTTGTCGTAGTCCTTTTTATATAATGAGAAATGTTGTAATTTGATTATTAAGAAATAAGAGAATTTTATTTCTCCAACTTTCTTCAGATATTACCTTTTCAAGCTTATGTCTGATCCATTCTTTGTTAGTTGAATTGGCCCTGCTATTATCATCAAACACTTCTGTTACCTCCCTGCAACTATCAACAGTATATTGTGCTCTCAAGCTACTGAAGTATAAATCTTCAATGCCATATCTTTGAGCCTTCATTGGGTTTGTTTAATGCCTTTGAATCATGATCAGCCATTGCCCGTGGGCTTCTTCCATCCAAAGTGAATCCCAAGCTTCATAGGATGCGTCCATTGACATATTGTCATCTTTTTATTTGGACTACTTGAGAGGAGGCAAAGTTCAGTGTTTGCCATTAGACACACCAAAAGTTTGTGCTGTAAAGCCCCCTACTAGTTTTGATAGATTTTTTGTCCCGCAGTTTGAGCTGGGAGTATCATATAAAAAGAAACTGATTGGTTTAAAAACCCGTTTCCATTTGTAAATTATGTTGGCAACTTCGGACTTGTATGATTGAGATCCTTTATTGAAACTCTTCTCTACCTACAAATAAAGATGTAATTAACCTTCCAGTCCCCAGCAATGGTATCATCCGCCTAAATTAGATCTTTGAGCCTAATTTGGTTTGGCCATTTTTTTGCTAGTTTTTGGGCATTGCTTTTCTTAATTTGGATCGAGCTGATTAAAAGCATTGTAAAACAAAGTGTATGCATTAGTACTGGGAAGTAAATCTATTAACAACGGTCTTAGAAATACATTAGTACTGTAAAAAAGTCTATTGAAAATAGTATATTTCTTGGGAAAACTGACAGTACTGGAAAAAAAATCCATTAACAATAGTCTATTTTTTTGAGAAACTGACACTTTTCATTCTAGAAATTTTCAAACTCTAAACTCTGTGCATGAGCAGTGGTTGACAATCTATAACTTATAAAAATTTTCATTGAAGAAATGGTAAATTTCAAATTTTTCTGACAACTCTTAAACTGCAGTCCAACTTTTTTTGATGAACGCCCAAACAGCAATATGCTTCACAATTGCTCTTTCATTTCACTCATATGCCTTCTAACCAGTGCATGTTTGGTTTATTAAATTCTAAGGCTATAGGTACCCAATCACTTAATGGTTTCCAAAGCTGCTTCTAAATATTCTTAGAGAGAACTGAAATAATCCACCCTGCAATAGGCTTCTAATCTATCTGCATAAATTTTAGGTGTTGCAGCAACTTTGGAGGAGGAAGGATGTAAAGGGTCTTCTCAGTGCATTGGGAAAGATGTCTGATTATGCTGTAGGTATCTTATATTAATGTTGTTTTATCAAGATAAGCCATTTGCTTATCTTATGCACTACAATACAGGTCTCTTCAGATTTTATCAGTATTTTAATGGGAAAAAGTGATATCATTACTTTGGAGTTGTGCACTTGCCTTTTACCACTTCTGTCATGTCTTCTAGACAGTAAGATTGATAGGTATGCACATTTATTTCTTATATTTCAAAAACTGATATCTTACTTCATGCAAGGTTTAAACTATAGGTTTTAACTATTGGAGTTCTTATGCTTAAATACTAATAATTTTCTTAAATTAGGCATTTGGACATCTCCCTTGAAATGCTGCTGAAGCTTGTCAAAACCTTTGGTTCTGTAATTAATTCAACATTATCAGCCTGTTCATCTGTTGGCGTTGACCTACAAGCCGAGCAAAGGTTCCTCCTACATTATTCATAAAGTTTCTTTGCTTGTATTCACGATTCATGAAACTTATTGACTGACTTTTTCTGTGATTGTTTTGTACAGGTTAGACCGTTGCAATATATGCTTCGTTGAGTTAGAAAAGGTTAAGCAGAGCCTCCTGCCTCTTACCAGGTTAGAGGTCTTTCGATCTTCATTACCTCTAAAGCCAGCCGATCAGATCGTGATCCAATAGAATTGAGTGTTGCAATATATTGCTTCTATTAAATTTTGCTTGAAGCCACTTGATTTGACCTTAAGTCGAGTCAAATATGGTTTCTTAAGCAACACTGGCTGAATAACTTATAATATAATTTTTTGGTTCAACATGCATCTTGGCAATCATCACACATATAGTTAAAACCTATCTTAAATCTCAAGGTAGCTAGGCTTGGCTCAATTCTTGTTTAATTCGTGCCTATCTTTGCTCATTATAATTATATCCGAGCTGAAAGATAACATAATTTTTTAGCAATCTTTGAGCCGAATTTTCATTCCTACCAGCCAGGTCTGTTTGTTTGCCCGACTTAATTAAGAGGCCATTTGGGATTACTTTTGATTTTTTTTGTCATTTATTTTGTTTACAGATATGTTATAATATGTTTAATTATTCTTAAAAACACTCAAAATAATTTTGTTATATAACATTTCTTCCATTTTTAACTAGATAATATTTCCTTTTCTGCAACAGAAGAGGGGGATCAATCGCGAAGTCTGCACAGGAGCTGAACCTCGCCTTACAACAAGTCTCACATTAAGGCGAACCCGTGCGGCTCTATTTTCAATATGTACATGTCTTATTGATCTACAACTTTCCCAAAACTTGTCGCTACAGAAGCCTTTGCGAATTAGGAGATCAGTAACTCTGTGATTTATAGAACTACTCTCCAGAGGCCAGAAGGGGGAGTGAGATTCTAACCTGTTCTAACAGATTGCTTCCTAGAAAAGCATGTATCATCCACATTTAACAAAGATGATCATATAGTAGAATCTTGTTCTTGTTCTTTATTTGTACTTTTATTATATTTTATTTTTATTTTAATTTTTTGGAATTGAGGGTCTAAGTGATCAAATATCAATTATCATTGGTTAGTTTTTTGACAGGAGAGTTGTGGGTGTATTGAAGCTCATAGTACTATCTTAGTTTAATCAGTTGAATGCAAGTCTTCAACTTTTTTGTGATAGATGGCATTTTCTCCGTAAAAAAGAAGGCCATTGCTTCATTTGGATTGTATAATTCCTTGATAATGTTATGGATGCAATTTCATGCAGAAGTTTGAGGAAAAGTTAAAGAGTCTTAAACCTTGATAAACTAACATTTTGTATTGTTTGTTGATCAGATTGTTTAAATCAAAATGTATGTTTTTTCTATTGCCGGAAGAGATGGTCTTTTAATGTAGGGAAAAAAAAAAAAGAAATCTCACATTGAAAAGAAGTGTTGCTACTTTTTTGAGATGTGGGAGCATTGAGGGCTTTATTGTTGGAGGTTAGAGGTCAGTGTGAGTTGTTCGCGATCGATCATGGGATCGTGTGTTCATTCACAAAAAGAAATGCTACTTTTCAATCATAAAAATTCCTTGATTGTTTTTCTCTCTAGTGTCATCTCTGTCGTCAACATGTGTACTTGGGTTGTGATGATGTTTAACAACAAAAGTTTTTTTCTCTATTTATTGCCTAGAAAGTCAATGATGCTAGTTTGATTTGTTTAGGATTGAATATGTTCATGTCATCTTCTTAAGGGTTTATCATCTTTAAGGGTTTCAATTTTAATTTTTTGAATTTTTTCATTATACTTTTTCTATTTCAGGGTTAAGTGACATCAGCTTACCTAAATTTCTCCTATATATGTAATGAGAAGTGTACAAAGGGTGACACTATTTAAATTGGACACGAGAAAAACTAAAAAAAACTAAGTAAAACAGGAAAAAAATATTGGGAAAACACATCACAACATGAAATATGTAATCACAGGAACAAAAATAAAGATCTAAATCATTTTTTTTGGAATTTAATATTTTTTTAAAGCAATAATATAATAGAGTTATAACAAAAATACAAATAAACAATAAAGCATGACGCAGTTCAAACCTAAAATCTAAGTGACTCAACTAAAATTATCTTAAAATAAAAAAAATATTGACCCATATCCCCAACAGTGCCAAATACATGATGCTCAAAATTTACTATGAGGCAGGTTAGTCAATCACATTAGTATACATTTCAATCAAGTAATATTTGGATAAAGAGTCTATGCATTGATCTCATAAGGATAGTAGTAAAAAATATTCATAACAAAGAATGTTCTAGTGAACTATACTTTTGAATCTAGTTTAAAGTGATCTAAGTCCAAGAATGAAAATTTTCACAATCCTAAAATAGAAGTCAATAGAAATGGAAGTACCAAAAAAGGTAGGAAGCAAATTTGAGCACTTCAAAGGTGGTAAGTCTCAAGCTTTTGTGACATTAGTATAGTGTTTCCTCTATATTTTCCCTCTAAATTTCCCTACTCTTTAGCCTATGTCTAGGTCATAAGAATAGTTTGAAATCATATTACAGTTAAAAAGAACATATCTATTTAAATTTTACTAGAATTTCTCAGATCCTCTATCAAGGTTGTAATTTCTTAATGGCAATATATATTCCAATAGACTATCGTGTGTTAACCTAATCGTTCCACTAGACAATAATTAGAAATCCTAGATCACAAGAAAATTTAATATCTTTATTGATCTGATTATAAGTAAATAATGATCATAAGGTTAACACATTAATCATGTAAATATCAAAGCTAAAAGCATTTATGGGTAAACACATGGTAAAAATAAGCCACCCAAAAAATTCTATCCTTTAATCAAAGGAGCATGAAAATAAATTATCTACAAGACATGAGATAGAAAAGTATGGAAGATTTTATTGCAAACATTAAAAATATAAATGCAAGAAAGTACACAAACTTAGAACTAAGTCCTCATCGTATAATGAAAAACCCTCCACAATCCTTCTCACACGACAACACTCGATCTCTCTCACATACACAACTTCTCAATTATAAAAGTAAAAGTAACTCTATGAGTTTCTCCTCAATAAAAGAGGAAGAGAAATCATAAGGCTTAACTAAGAAAATTTATCACTATCTGAAAGAAGACTCCCAAGTGCTATAAGCCTCTCTATGGCATGTCAAAGCACCAGCTTATATTTCTCTTACCAAAATTTCCATACCAAAAGATTCCAAAATAAGACTTTGGTTGTTATTAGCATATCAATGCTAATGCTTGGTGTAATTATGTCAAATGTTTGTGTATCTATGCTTGATCCTAGCGTAATTACACCATACACAGAGAGCTGAATATAATTACACCAAAAAGTGGTGTAACTATATCAGTCCAGCTTTTTTTTTCCCTTCTTTGTATTTTGGCTTCGCAACACATATTCAACCCTTTAAACTATAAAATATCATAAATAAGTCTTCCAAAATCATATAATCATGATAAATAAGGAAACAAATGGGGTATTTACAGTAGAGAAATCATGTAAATTTATAATGTGTCAAATTCCCACCACAATAATTGAGGTAACATTTGAGTTTGTATCATGTGAGATATTACTAGTGGATGTGGGTGAGTTTATATTTCTAGGTTATGTCCCCAATGATTATTTTGTAATTTATATTAATTCCCATGCAATAAAAAAGTAAGTTTTTTTATTACTCTTCTTGATTTCATATTGTTAATGAGTATGGTATTTTAGATTGTGAGGAGGATACTCAATCTATGCTTAGATTAGGTAATATTTTCCAAGTACATGATGATGAGGAATACTCTTGTAAAAGTGAGAACACCTCATCCTATCCAAAACCTCAATCTGATGAATTATTTGTATAGTTTTGTGATGGGGAAGTTCCATCTGTTTTCCATGTTAAGGACATTCAACAACTATGGCTAAGGAGTAGTTGATTACTTTTGTCTAGAGCTGAAAGGCTCGTTGCCCAAAATAAGGGGAAAAACATCATTACTCGAGATACTAAAAATACCCCCCATTCCTCTAACTCAAGTTAAGAGCTTGGATAACTATTTTGGCAAATGGATTATCTTGTTCTAGCTCCCCTTTAGAATCAATCAGTGTTGTTGAGTGTTTATTACGTGCTCATGTTGTCACCTGAGTTGTGAGAAACCTTGGTTTTTAAATCATGAATTTTTTCGTGTTTACTTCATCGAGAAGAAGTTGAGAGAGTTAAGCCCTCCTCATGAGGTGCTTGATATTGATAGTGACATGTTATTGGGTGTGGTAGACCAAAACTGTATGTTGTATGTAACAACATTAGCATACAAAAATCATTTGAACCATATAAAGATTGATCATGGTGTGTATGTGATTATTATCAACATCCATACTCTTGAGTTATTATCCCTCAGCTTAAGACATTTTTTGTTATGACTATCACATGTTGTATAGCTTCAATGAGAAAGGTCATACCCACTTGACACCACTATTATTCCTCTTTATTTTACGTAAATGAAGACTAATATTAAGTTTCATGTTATAAATAATAGCACATCTTTTAGAGTGTTGCTAGACCATTCATGGATTCATTCTTATGTGATGGTACCTTCAACCCTTCATTAGTGTATGAAGTACATATTAGGAGGTTAAGAGTTTTGTATCCCCAGTGATTGCCAACTACTTCCAATTTATGAGGTCAAAATATATGTGAAGGTTTCATATCATGCTTGTCTTCTATCCATTTTTGGTGTTGCAATGCCCATGAAACATTTTTTTCCCCACTGGCCCATCTCTGTCTATTTAGAGATGAGATAGAGCATTGAGATAGAAGCCCCGATCATTGCCTCGTTGCAGTTCAAGGTGAGTTACCCTTACCCATCTTTTTGTTGGCCTGGATTTAAGTGGAGATTGATTTTGATGATGATTCCTTGCCAATTGCAAATATTAGTGTTGCTCGGCTAAAGGAAGGTTTGATCTTAGAAGATTTAGAAGAAGAGACCTTGAGGGTGCAGACACCCTGTCAAGATTATTTTTTTCTCAATTATCTACTCTAGCATTTTAAATGAGGTGTTGGTGATCGAGTCCCTACCCTACCAACATTTGAAAGACTTGGCTTCAATAAGTATATCCATTATTGATGATTTGCATCATTTTATGTACCTCTTAGAGAGTGTTATAGAAAGTGTGTTATTATAATTCGTAGTGTAGTTTCTCCATCAGGACACTACAATGTATTAATTTATGATAATTTTAATGAAGAAATATATGTGTTCCCTTCTCTTACTACTTGTCTTCGGTGATTAATAACTTGTTGAGTAATAGTTGTCAACCTATGATGTGGTTCAGTCACCAATCTCATATGTGTATGCAGATGTGGTATAACAAATTCACCCAGGATATGCATGGTTTGAGTTAGGTTGGATCATCAAGTTCAACAAAGACCAAACTTCACCATGAATCTTGTAGTATGGTACCTATAATTCCTCGTATTGACCATGCTGATCCTTTATCTAATATCCAGAATGCTCCTCTCAAACTCTAGGATGACGTGTCTTTAACGGTTGATGATTTGATAAAGATAAATTTCATTAAAGATTAAAACCCTATCTCACCTACATTAGTAGCTTCTTATTGGAGTCAATGGATTCTCAAATTGTGGATGGTCTCCTTTAGTTTAGTGATTGTCTCATGTGGATCTATGTTGAGATGCCTAGTATAGATCCTGATGTAGTTATTCATAGATTATCTACTAGCCCAATTTCCACCTCAGTAAGGCAATCACCTTGTAGGATGCAGCTAGATGTCAAGCAAATTGTCATTGATAAGACCAAGTGGCTCATTGAGTTAGGGTTTATAGAGAGGAATCCTACTATATGTGGTTTCTAATCACTTGCGTTTAGTTTCTACCAAACCGTACGGGTCCCCTAGTCTTTATAGACCAGGTGGACTGAAAGGGTTTTTGTCTATGTGTCAAAGTACCGTATGGGTGGCGTCACTCCTCCTGACAAAGATCCGCTAGCCAAGTTTGGTTATTCAAAATACATAAATTCTCCAGCTTTATTAATCAGGGATCTTGGGATTACTATCCTAAGTTGTTGGTACAACATTCCATATGAGTGGTG